AACTATAAACATGATTATTTTTGGTGATCGGTGATCGTTTACCTTAGGTAGCAGCCTTGGTATAAGAGACGGGCGCCGGTGGCGCTGACGGAGCAGTTGTTGTATATTCTAACGGCGGCGACATCCAAGCACCTGAGACAATCGGCGATGGAGAGGTAATACCGGCACTGAAAGAGGACGTAGGCCGGAGTGTTGTTCTTCGCCACCCACGCCGTCGCGAAGTGCTTCCTCTGATTGCTGATCTGCGCCCTGATGTTTCGCATCGTCGCGTTAAGGTTGCCGGTGAAGACGGAGACGTCGCTGACGTTGTACGAACTGCATCCTGATTTCACATAAGTGGTCTGGGGGTCTGAAACGGCGCCGTCAAGTCTCCAACACAACCAGATTGTCAAACTTAATACTACAAATAAGAATCGTTTTTGTTGCTGGTACAGCGGCATCAGTGCAGAGGACTAGAGTAGAGAATGAAAATGGATTGGCTTCCTGAATACATGTTTTTCCCTCTTCTCATTGTTATTTATGTGACCGATTACCCAAAAAAAGTTAAAACTTTTTATTGAAAGTTTTTTAGTTAAAATACATACGAGTAATACTTTATTCTTGTCTTAAAATGAACTAATAATGAGATAATAGTTGAGTTGTAGACCCGCGTCAATTTTGTCTAAGATGACAATTGTGATTGATCCGATGGATATTCACTTGTACCGAACCGCTCTGATCAAGATGGGAAAAGCTGCATTGATTATAGTTTTATACATATCCCTCCGCATTACTCGCCTTGTACCTGACTACCCAGCACATGTTCTCATTAGTTATATTTTGTTTCATTTGTTTTAATTATTTGTTCCACACCTAAGAAAGATGAGGGTTTTTTCATTTTCATTATTGTATATATGGATATACTCACGGAAATCTTTCAATAAAAGTCCTTTATAGACCGTAATGATATGTTTGGGAGTTTGGAGAGAAGTGTGAGGAAAGGCCTTGAAGGTTAATTCTAGCTAGCTTGGAGGTTAGGAAAGGGAAGGGGAATGGGAAGAAACAAATTTTCTTGTTTGGGAGTTAGCAAAATTATTGAATAGAGAGGGACTAATGAGGAATTATAATTAAAATCACTTTAACAATATGACAAATTAAAATAGTTAAGTTTATATTGATTTTTAGTTAAGTTAAAAAGCTATCATTTAATTATTCATCTTTCAAAATCCTCCAATTTAGGGGAGGTTAAAAATTGAGCATTTGAAAAGTTTTAAATGATCGCAAGAATCATCCACGACTATTCGTTTCGATTCTCTGAACTTCGAAACAAGATAGGAGATGTTAACCCTCGTAACCCCTCCCCTCCAATTATAACGACAACACACAACAACAATAATAAAATTTCAGTGAAAATAATAATATTTTAATACTTTAGTTTGTAAATAATCAAATTTCTCGTGTGTAAGTTATGTTTTCGTAATATTGTTGGAAAACTAACACTTTTCGTTGACTCGGCAATTCTGAGCAAACTCTAAGATTTTCATATTTATTTAATATAGTTAATATTTACGGAATATGATTTAGTTGCTGACATTAATTAGTCATTTTTACTTTAAAGTTTAATTCTGCGATCGATTAAGTTTAATAAAATAATGAAAAACTTCGATACATACATTGATACACATGAAACGTGTGGAAATGAAGAAAACGAAGGTGGAAAGAAGGTAATTGAAATGAGGGTACACACAATTTGTACACATAATTTGTACACTTATCTGTCCCCCACAGACAAGTTGTCTGTCGCAAGATAAGTTGTCTGTGAAATAAATTGTGTGTACCCCAATCTTTTTTCTTGAAATGATGTTGACAATTCCTTTGGTAAAACTACAAAAGTGACCAATTATTATGAAAATTCAATCATGAGACGCCGGGTTTGATAATTAAGCTTTGTGGAACATACAATGATACCATCTAATTTGGATTAGTCGTCTATATTTTTAAAAAATAAATTAATCGTCTAGTTTGGATAAGATTTCAGTATTGATTGATCAAAAGAGGATGTGATTTTTGTTGGGTGTGTCTCGAAAAATAAAGAAAAGTAAATAAATAAAATTATATAAAATGACTAAAGAAAAATAAAAATAAGATGGAGCAGAATTTAGTCAAAACTCGTGTTACGCATGATGTCCTTTAAACGTATTCGTAGCCTCCCTAGGTTCTAGGAGCGTTGCAACGATCCTCAAGAATTTTTCAGCGAACGGAAACCAAGCAAGAACACTCAGGAATATTTTCGAAAGTTTTGAGGTGTTTTTAGATAAAGAAATACGTGGAGATTGTGTATGATTGCACGTGTTGTTGCAAAGCACCTGCCAACTATTTACAGAAGGATTTGTTGTGTTTTAACTTAAGCTTTAATGGACCTGAACGTTGTACATAAATGTCCAGCACGTTGGGCATTAATATGTCAAAAACTGTCCATTTAAAGCGCGCATTAAAGCATATGAACATTGGTCTTCTGCTACCTAAGGTACACGACATTCGTGTCCACAGGTCGCCCGCGCACGAAAGTCACGGTTTTTCTTCTCTGTTTTTGTGATTTGATTTGCAGTTTGCACCCCCTACGTGCAAAGGAGCATTTCCCCTTAGGAATCTTAACTCTTTCAAGGGAGTTCCCTTTATAAGGGGTTCAAAGTCCCTTGAGTTTTTCGGTGTGGGATAAATCACACTAGAAATCCATCTTTTTTCCCAATTTTTCCATTTCAACGAGTGAATTTCGAGAATCAATTTCTCATTCACCCGTTATCCGTTTTGAGTGTACCATATATCGAATTGTAGCCCTTAACAAGGACAATCCAAAACCACTTTCACCCGATCCAAATCGAAAGTGGACTCCACTCAAAATATTGCCCCAAATTGACCATTTAATGAAATTTAACACATTTTCTGAACAATCTTTCTCGCTTACTTTTTCAGGTGTCTCAAAAAATTCTTCTCATTTTCCTTTTTGAAAAATTTTTTATGGCTAACATTCATTTACTAGTGTTTTCTTACTCAATCACAATCATATAATTTCACTTTATTCCTACTATCTTAAATTTCGATCCAAGTCAAATTGGAAAGAATTTTATGACACGAATGGAGTACTAAATATTAAATTACAAGGGTAGCTCAACCGATTAAGTGAAGTTTGGATGAATGACCAAGATTCAAAAATTGCAATGGCCATGTGGAGGTCACAAATTTCGTATTGTTAAAGTCCCACACCGGTAAATTAAGAAGTAATAGAGTGCTATATTAAGATGCTAGAGTACTCCTCCTAACAGGTTGACCTTTTAGGATTGAACCTCGGGCCTTAACATGGTATTAGAACGAAACTGATCATAACCATGATGTTGGCCCCTTAAGAAAAATGACGACACGATCACAAATGGCGATGATGAACGATAGAAAAAAATGAATGACGACACATTTTAGAAATGTTTGGTCGTGAGGAGGGGCGTTGAAGTCCCACACCGGTAAATTAAGAAGTAATAGAGTGTCATATTAAGATCTTGGGCTACTACTCCTAACAAGTTAACCTTTTAGGATGGAACCTCGGGCCTTAACATGTATGCTCGACTGAACCTTAGGTGTGCACGAATATAAGATATATCATCACTAGAACTGCTTGAGTCACCGTAATTTACAACCTCTAATATGCTCTATTGGATGAGGGCTTAAAGTTGGAGATTCAACCTTTTGAGCGAACAAACAGTAAATTTTAAGATAATATGATTAGAGCAACACCTAATCATATTATCTTATGATTAGTTTTTCAACTTATTTCGCATTATTTCGCATTATCAGTAATTTCAATGATTCTAGTGGACATAGCTCAACCGATAGACATGGGTGTCATAATGGATAAGTCTGTGGCTCAATTCTTGATTAATGTGATTAGAAGTATCATGTAAAATTGCATAAGACTTCTGTAAATACTTGTGTTAGAGCTCATTTGATATTTATTGGTGTGATTAAAGTTCAATTTGTTCTACGGTTAACTGTCATCTCGTGGTATCATCTACGATAGTATTTTAGTAACTTCAATGATAGGATATGCGTTGACTGAGTCGTGAGGTCTACAGCATTCAAAGTTGACGTTGGCGACTTGGCGGGCTCCAAACTGCGGTCTCATTCTTTCCCTAAACTTTAGAGTTTAGTGTTGACTTCATTAGAGACAGGAGACGTACTCACCTACCATTGCCGGGGCGACCAGGGAATTTGATACAAATTTCTACAGAACGGAAACGTATTATTAAAGCATCTTTAGAAATTTCCATGAATGAATGAAGCAGAGCTATCAATCAATTATTAATGAAGGTAAGAGCCACTAACATTAATGCATCCAAATATCCAATAATTATAGTTAAAGGCGCTTTCACGTTAGTAAATGATGATGTGATTTTTCTCATTTGGATTCATTTGGATTATCATTACACCAAAAATGCTATTTTTAATTTAATAATAATCTCGCTGTCCCACTCAACATTGCACACTTCAATTTGAGTGTGGAGTAAGAATAGTAAAAATTTCGTGGTTAAGATTTGTGCAGAACAAATATAAATAAAGATAACCACAAATTCATCACCTTAAAAGGAAAATAACAATGTTTTTTTAGACAAACAAAAATAGAAAGTTGACAAAGTCCAGTGAGACAGATGAGTAGTTAATACTCCCTCCGTCTCACTATTATTGTGGCAATTCCTATTCACTTAGTCAATAACAATCACTTTTAATCTCTTACGAGTACTTTATATATCAAATTTTTATCAAATTTGATACTGGTTTTTACGACATTGTAATGCTTTTAATGTAGTTTCTTAATATATAATTTTTTATCTAAAAATAATTTGAGTGCGAATGAGAATCTGTTTACTTTATAGTCGGTCAAGCATGTAAACTGCAACGTGACAATAATAATAGGACGGAGGTAGTAACATTTTATAATATTTGTGTTGGATGGCTTTTCCATTAGTAATTAGTACTCCGTAATACAAGTGGAACTTTTTCCACATTTATCTATATATTTTAGTTGAGTTGTATTCAAAGAAACCGTGATAGAAAAAAGTATTGTTTCATAAAATAGTATGTGTGACAAAATATAACAAAAATGCACTTATGAACAACAATTTAGGACAAACAATTCCCTCTGTTTATAACTCTACAAGTAGCTCCCAAGGCTCCCCAAAAAGAAGATAAAATCAATTTTTCAATTCCTTTTCTTCCCCATCCTATTTTTCTATAATCTCCCAAACCTGCGAATCAGAAAAGCTAAGCCATGGTGTTGTACATGAGGCAAAAACCCATCTTCTTGGTGAGCTTCCTAATCTGGTGGTCATGGTGGGGCGGCGTCGTGGCGGCGGAGCCGCAGACGAACCTAGTGACGATGGGGTGCAGCATAGTCAACGTCACCGGCGTCACCGCCTTCCGCCGGAACCTAAACGCAACGTACCAAAAGCTGAGAGCTCAGATAAGCAACCAAAGCAGTAATCATCACTTCGCCACGGGACAGGAGTTGAAGGGGAGCAGCCCCGCCTTTGCCCTGTTTCAGTGCAGAAACTACCTGGCGGTCAACGACTGCCTTGCTTGCTTTGACCGGGCCGTCATTCAGCTGCGCAGAAACTGCTCCGCCGTCTCCAACGGAGCCCATATCATATTCGACGGCTGCTTTTTAAGGTAAATGTACGCCCACCTAAACGCTTGATTGCATTTCAAAAATGATGTTTGTACCCACTCTTATACCCTCTTTTGTACTCATCCATGTCTTGTGAAGCATTTTTTTGTCCGTGAAATCCGGTTCACAGACAATATTTTGCAATTGTCTGTGAATTGAATTCACAAAAAAAAAACACTTCACAAACATGGTGGGTATAAGATGGATATAAAAGTGGGTACATCAAGCATTTCATATTGCATTTTTACCAATCGCTTCCGCCGCCGTTTCTATTCTCGTTTTCAAAAGCCCTGGGTTGTACAATTGTTTGTTTTTTACGGACACACAAAGAACTGTTTTCACAAGAGGTATGCAAAAGTGTGTGCAAGTGAAGTGTTTAGGTACAGTGTAGTGTTTTTTAGTACTCCTTCCGTAGAGAAATGAAGTTCTACATTTTCTGGAGAAAAGGTTCAAATAGGCTCATGTACTAATTAAAAAAGGTCAAATAAACCCTTATTTAGAAAGTTCTGTCCGGCCGTCGTCATTTGGGGTGGTTCCCGGTGGAATTTTTTGATGAAATTTTTTGAGCATCTTATTCATCAAGTCTAGTTTGCTCATGCCAAATATCAGCTAAAACTTCAATCGGGAAGGCATTCAAATGAATTCTTGAAAATAACTGCGCAGTTATCTTCAAGAATTCATTTGAATGCCTTCCCGATTGAAGTTTTAGCTGATATTTGGCATAAACAAACTAGACTTGATGAATAAGATGCTCAAAAAATTACACCGGGAACCACCCCAAATGACGACGGCCGGACAGAACTTCCTAAATAAGGGCTTATTTGACCTTTTTTTGTTAGTACATGGACCTATTTGCACCTTTTCCCTTCATTCTGGGATGTTTCAAAATAATGTTATCGCTTTTATTTCTTTATATATTTGGTAAGTTTTTATTATTCATTTACTCTTTTACTCTCACATCACTTCATTGAATTAATGTGTTATCCTCATTTCATTATTTATTATTCATTACCCCCTTTATGATACTCATTAGGGTACTCCACTTTTTAATTAGGGCATTTTTCAAAAACCAATTTTATTTCATATTCTACCTAAAAATCTGTTATGTCAAACTAGGATCTTCATTTCGGAACAGGGGGAGTGAGATTTTTACCAGTCTTAGTCACTATTCATTGAACTCGTTTTTTGCCAATGGATTTTTTGTTGTCTTATATGTGGTTCTTCCCACTAATATTATAACATAAAGTTTGTGTAGTTATAAACTACTCTTACTTAGTTTGTATGGTTCTAAGTCACTCTTAATTTATTCTTATTTATCAATTTATTTAATATCAATCATAAAAATATGCGGAGTATTTCTTTCAATAACCATAACACCTCCCCATATTCCAATGTTAGTGGGATGGATGTAGTATTTCTTATCCTATAAAATTTAGGCAAAGTTGACTTGCAGGTGAGTACTAAAAGATAGGGGTGAGCATAAAACCCAAACCGAACCGGTACCGAACCGGTACCGAACCGTTCCGTAATGGTACCGTACCGGATATCGGGTATTTAAACGGTTCTATATATTTTTATCCCGAACCGAAGTCGTACCGTTTGAAACGGGTACGGGATCGGTTCTAGATTTTGAGAACCGAAAAGAACCGGACCGGACCGTTTAAAAATAATGCATGTGAAGTTTTTTTTTTTATATTTTCTTCCTTACCAATAAATATATTTTATAGACCAACAATTTTATACCCAATATGTATTCATGTCTCCCTAAAATAGTTAAATATGTGTGTTTATACGGAGTATGTATATTGTTATTTTTTCTTTTTAAATAATTTTGTGTTATATTTTGGTATGTATTAAAGAATGTTAAAGTCTTAAAAATCATTAATGATTATTCATTTCTAGTAATGTAGTGTATATAATTTTTTGTTGTATCATGTTTGTGCAATTGTACAACTAATTAATACTAGTATGATTTCAATTCTAGCTCTTACGGTTCAACTATAAATTAAATTAGAAATAATATTTAACCTAGAACAAAGAAGAAGAACGTTACTTTTTCTATATATTGAATAATTTGACGATACTTTTTTTATATTTTCACATGAACTTAGTAAATGAAAGGCGATATTTATCTCGTGTATCATCATTTTGATATACCTTTTCTTAGTTGTGTTGCACTATTTGTGCATGTATTTGTGAACTTTAGTACTGCGTATGCAATTTCTTGAATTTAAATCAATACTTAATGTGAGTTGATTGGTGTGGTGTTATTTATTAATTGCAAGATTTGTCCAATTTTCAGCATGTGTTTGGCATTGTACCATACCATTTTGTACCGTTCCGAAACGACATGGTACCGAATGGTTTTATCCTTAGAACCGGACCGTACCGGACCGTTAGAAACCTCACAGATACATTATGGGTTTTACTAATTTCCCGGACCGTTCCGAACCGCGCCCACCCCTACTAAAAGACATACTCTTTCGATGTCTTAAAACTTAATCAAAGTTTACTTGCATGAAAATACTATAGCAAAAACTACACAAACTGTGTACTAGGTATTTGTAAAGAGAAAAATAATTATAACCACATATTTATTATTTTAAATGAAATTGAGAATTCCCTAAATAAGACCAAAAGTAACTTATAGTTCATAAATAAGATTAATATGATTGTTTTTCATAAAGCTCATTCACTCCTATTTTGGAAAATTTAGAGCCCATTTGGTGTTTATGTTTTTCGGCTTATTAGTCAATTTTTTTTACCAAACACGTAACTTTTGATTAAAGGTTGAAGTTACTTCTTTTTGTTGTATAGGCTGAAGTTATTGTAGAGAATCATAATAGTTATTTTTCATATAAATTTTCTTTATTTTATTGATGAAAACTATTCTAAATATAATTTTTCATAAATCAGCATAATTGGCCGATTCAGTCACTTCAACCAGAACTTCATAAATTTCAGCAGAATCGACTGATTCAACCAATTTCAGTGTTACCAAACGGGCTCTTAATCAACTTATTCTTGTAATACGACTAAATAGGTCTTATTTGGGAAATATAACGTATTTAGTTCTCTTTTTGAATTTTTTAGGACGAATAAATATGAAACATTATCAAATTTTTGTGGGACAAGAGTATAGCGTAATTTATAAACTTTAATTTGATATAAAGCTCACATATATAATTTATGTTCTTATATGAAGTGTTGAATTATGTGTAAAATTTGTGTTATAGTATACCCCACTAATAAATTAGGCTACCATATTTACATTGGATATATGATTGTTTGATGTAATTTTTCACGGTGTATTCGTGTTTGAACTTTAAACTACCTAAATACAACCTTCTAATTGACACGAATAATGTACAATATTGTAGAATTGAACTTATATATATGAAAAACAATATTTACAGTTGAAGCTTGACTTTCAAAGCCTTCAAAGTCAAAGTTTAACTGCTAATATTTTAGAATATATACTTATAACACATATAGTAAATTAAAATTTCAATCATATATTATTAAATATAGTATATTCAAAATGACTTATATGCCATAATATAATGTAATACCATTTTTGAATACTACTCGACAAATACTTTCAATACTTACTGCTTAGTTGTCAAATTTGACAATGTTTGACTCAAAAAGTCAAACCATGAATCTAATTGTGAGACAAAGTGAATGGTTTTAGTACTTCGCATTTTATTGTACTAATCAAATCTCAAAACTCTGAACAACAAAGAACCCCAATGTTAGTTGCTCTAGCTACAATTGTCAATCCACTTCTTGGGGAAAACGAGATATATTTATAGTTTAATATTTTCAATGGCCAAGCGACTACTTTGCCATGCAAACGTTCAAAAACATATTAAGAAACTAAAAATTATTGTAAATATATTCAATCATTTCTTAAGTGTGTATGAAAGTTAAAGTTGTTTCTTATTAATAAAGACAATAATGAGAGTGGAGAGCTCACTAACATTTGTTGGAACAGATACGAGAGCACTACCTTTTTTGACCAGAATACATACCCCGCGAATAATGTTGTGTGTGGGAATGAAGTAAAAAACTCCACTCAACTTGCTTCTACCGTTCAACAAGTGCTAACAAATCTGGACATAGTAACACCCAGAATCACTGGTTTCTTTGCGGCCACCAAGACGCCAGTTCCTAATGACAGCCGCCGCAACTCATCTTCAAACATTTATGCCTTTGCTCAATGTGTTGAGACTCTCTCTCAGACAGGCTGCCAAGATTGCTTGAAAATTGGCTTAAGAAATTTTCAGCTATGTCTTCCAAGCTCAAATGCAAAGACCTTTGACTTTGGCTGCTTCATGAGATATTCCACCACCCCCTTCTTTGCCGATAATCAAACTATTGATATCTACCAATTTTTGCAACAAGGTGTGTAGTACATATGCATGTTGTGAAGTGTTAACTTGAATTATTTATATCACACTGATTTGATATAAAATAACAAACTATTTCAATTCCCCCGTCATTAAATGATTCGTTTGTCAACACAATTTTTTTGTTTATTCTATGATTTTGAGTATACTACTTGTATGGAACTCGGATTTAGTTGTTGCAGTTGAATATAACTTTTAATGTTTTTTCTAAATATATAAAATTAAACTTTAAACTTTAAAATATGTCAACCTTAAGTTGAAAATCGATACAAATTGCAAATCAATTCGGGATTGGAAGAAGGCTGTAATATACAAAATAATAAACTAATATATAAGATATGCTTATTCCTCATATCGAGATCTTAATATATTAATTAACCATTTAAAGAGGTTGGGCTAATACACAAACATGTTGGTTTGGGACAACATGTCTTTTTTGTTGTAGGACATTCAAGCAAGAAGAAGATCATTATTGGTGGAGTTGTTGGAGGTGCATCATTTATTTTGGTTCTCCTTGCAATATTTGCTTTGTATAGGCAACGATCGAACTCATCCAAAAGAGTTCATAGAGGTAAGCCATATAAGTGATATAACTACGAAAATGCCTCTATGTACATTTTCAAATTCAATTTCAACGGCTACATTGCTCTAGTCTGGGATATATTAAGACAATAGTTCTAAAGTAGATTTGACAAGAAAATTCTCTTATTTTTAATTCATGAGAATTCACTACGAATTTTGTTACAGGAGATATTTTGGCAGCAACTGAGTTAAAAGGCCCAATTAACTATAGATATGGAGATCTAAAGTCAGCGACAAAAAATTTTAGTCAAGAAAATAAACTAGGAGAAAGAGACTCTTGTGATGTGTACAAGGTAATCCTTGTTTCTAAACATTTACTTTCATTACTAAAATTGATTGATGTCATATTTCAAAGCAATTTTGGTGCTCCAATCAGCTTATGTTTTGTTTTTTTATTGTCTCCTTAATTCATAATTAATGTATGAATCAGGGTACCCTAGAAAACGGGAAGGTGGTAGCTATCAAGAAATTGGATATAGGTCAATCTAAAGACACAGAAAAAGATTTTGAAAGTGAAGTGAAGCTTATAAGTAATGTTCATCATCGAAATCTTGTTCGACTTTTGGGATGTTGCAGTAAAGGTCAAGAGAGATTCCTTGTTTATGAGTACATGCAAACCAATGTTGCACATCTTTTATTTGGTAGGCCAAATCAAACATTTATGTGATTTTATCTATTGGTAATACTGAGTATGAATTATTAAGTTTACTTGCTCCTAAAATTTTATATTAGGTAAAAATAAAGGCTCTCAGAATTGGATGCAACGTTATGAAATACTTTTAGGAACTGCAAGAGGTTTGGCATATCTACATGAGGGTTTTCATGTTTGCATTGTGCATAGAGACATAAAAGCGAGTAACATCTTTTTAGATGATGACTTTCAAGCCAAAATTGGTGATTTTGGATTAGTAAGGTCTTTGCCAAGACAAGAGTCTCATTTGATTACAGAATTTTCAAGATCAATGTAAGTAAATGCATACACGTCAGTATATTTGGTATGTCATGTTGATAATTATTATTTATCACACATTAAAACTAAAGTTTGAAAAATAACAGAGTTCGGATTCAATTATAATTTTTTTTAAATGCATTTACAAGTCCATTTCATATATCTTCTTTTGTTCGTACAAAATTTAGTCTTACAAGAAAAAAATCCATATATGACATTGTTTAGTATATAAAACAATCGAAAAAAACATAGTTGAACATCACAATTTTTATTTTCTATTCTCATATACATGTTACTATTTATAATCATTATGTCTTATTTTTTTATCAGGGAATACACTGCACCAGAATATGTAATGCATAGACAAATGTCAGAGAAAATTGATATTTATAGCTATGGTGTTGTTCTCTTGGAAATCATAAGTGGACAAAAGAATGGTGTTATACAGAATGACGATGGTGATGAATTTCTGCTTCAAAGAGTATGTAAATTCTTAAATCTAATATAGAAATGAGAGTTTTTATAAAAGCCAAGAACCTAAGTGGGCTTAGGCAAACCTATATTAAAAACAATTGTTGTGACCTAACAAAATCCATAAATAATACTGAGTATATTAATGATTGGATCGACTCATCTTATTAGCAACAAAATGTCTCAACTTATAGCATTATTTAAATTTCCGAGATAAAATAATGTGACTTGATAGATTAAGTTTTATGTATGTACTCTTTAAAAAATAATATGCATTATATTAATCTAGGTATCAAGTTGATAATGTGATCATGATCGAGTGAAGTGCAATCCTTATATATTGAGATTACTAATTAGATTCTGAATTGGCCGGATCAATTGAAGTACTAATTTGTTTCGTTCAACATCGGACTACAAAAGTGCACTAGTATTATTATATACGGAGTATTATTTATAATGCTATTAATGTTATTTCCTAGTCAATGGTAAAACATTTTTAGTAGGTAATTTATTTCATACTTGTTAAACACTTTGATTTGATCCCATTTGAAAGGCATGGAAACTATATGAGAGAGGAATGCACATAGAGTTGGTGGACAAAAGCTTAGACACAAGAGAGTATGACACGAAAGAAGTAGAGAAAGTAATAGAGATTGGATTGCTTTGTATTCAAGCTTCTCCTACAGCAAGGCCCATGATGTCAGAAATTGTTAGAATGCTCAAAAGAAAGGACTTAATGGAGCAATGGCGACCTACAATGCCTGCGTTTGTTGGAGCTAATTCCATGAAGCCAAAAACTGAACCATCTGCCTCTAATGATTCATCTTCATCAATTGCTACTCTCTCCACCACTATTATGTCAGGGAGGTGATCAATTGTAAGCTCACATTAGTTGATGTTTGAAATCCGGTTAATAATAAAGAAACAATGTTGATGAAAGAGTGAAGATATAAGCTTTCATTTATATTATTATATATTAGTGATTTCAATACAATGAAAAGCTTTGGTAAAAAATTCAAATGATTGAACATATTCTTTGTTCAATCTTGGGTTGTTGAAAATATAGATCTAGTAATGTAACGTATGCATATGCTCATTATTATTCCTCAAACTTTGGTCACTATCTACAATGACTCATAAATTAGTTGACATTAAATAAGGTTTTTTCCATAAGAATGTACCATTTATGTAGTATTTAGTCCTGTAACTTATGCATGTGCACATTACTACTCTAGTAGTTTTATTCTCTTAACTCACTATCCGCGGCCTTGTTAATACTTCCTCCATCCCAGTATATTCTTCATTCTTTCCTTTTTCGTCCGTCCCAATATAAACTCTTTTTCCCCTTTTTGACAAAGAATATTTGGTTCACGACATTTGTCCCACTTTCTCTCTCCTCTGCACAACTTTAGGCCACATATTTTCCACTTTTTTAATCCGTGTGCCAAGTTTGACTAGGAGTTAATATTGGGACGGAGGGAGTACTAAATTTGTCCACATATGGAACTTTTCCACCGCATGGTAATATTTTGATGGAAAATTTCATGCAAAACAATTTTTTATTTGATTTTTACGGAAATGACACGTTATTGAAGAAAGTACTTAATGTAGACAAATGTACTAATTATAAGACATGATCTACAAGTAAAGTTTCAAGAATAATAATAGATACATGCATAAATTATAGGACTGCTTTAGAAAATCTGCCAAAGGTGAATATATAAAAAGATGATGTATCAATTATGTATATAGTTGTTAAAAAAACAAATCGTTGCGGGAAAATCATCGAGCTTCTAGATTGGAGTCTAAAGTGGTTCAATCGATGGACTACTCAGTTATTTATTTCAAAATTATTTATGTTATGAACTTACAATAACATGACTTATATTGTCAATATTATAAAGAAATTGAGACTTTCACAAATTGGTTCACTTTAATATTGAATTTAATTTGATATTACATCTCCAAAACTCTGGTTGATCCATTGCAGTTGTAGCCCTTTAAGTTAGTTTAAGTATAGTATAATATCATTAAAGTTAGTTCAAATGGATTTATTACATTTAATCCTAAATCAATATATATATATATATATATGATTGCATTGTTGCACATGTCATATTGAATAAATAGGTTTAACTGGAGGCAATTTAATGAGTAATGACTGAGAACTTCTCTAATTAGGATGTTTTCTTTTGGACTGTTTTCAGTCCCAGACCAGACCCGACTTGACTTCTGTAGTTATAAAATACACAGAGACCAGACTAGTTCAGACCAGACCATATCAGACCAAACCAGCAAATTTCAGTCCAAAAGAAAACATCTTTAATTAGAAACCTATCTTTCTTTATTCTAAAAAAAACTATCTTTCTTTCTTGCCTGAAGGCAGTGGCAGGTCTTGTTCATTTCTTAACCGCAAAAGATTATGCCTCAAATTTGAGTTCTCTGTCTATTTTTGTTACTAAAACATCAATAAATGAGTTATATTATGATACATTATGTAATAATAATAAGAATGTAAGGAAATTTAACAGACTATGATTAAGACAGAGTAAGTTTTTCTTTATATAACTATAAAAATTAATATGACCAAATCTAAACAATAGGATTATAATAACTTTTTATACTCTCAATTCCAATGACCTAAAACTAAATATGCATTTGCTGGAATCATTGCCACTTGACATTACTTCCCTTATCATCGACATTGATCAATGCCCTTTCCACCAGTATCATTGTCTTTCCTGCTGACATCAACACATGCATTGTTCACTTACATTCGCAAGGGCTAAATATACGAGAAGAGAATTGAAGAAAGACATTTTTGGTGTCATATATGTGTCTAATTTGGCCGTTCCGCATCTCCTCCCCTCATATCTATTGCACCCCATTGTCCTTCCAGTCCAAATCCTAGTACATCAACTCATAAGGTCAAAGGTAATGGGGACTTGCTAGGTCTTAGTATGTTCAAAAATCTTAAAAATCGTCCATTATTAGTATAAAATTTAATGTAAAAGTTTATTGAAAAAATGTTTGTATCAGCTCAGCCCAATACATAACATTGACTACCCCCTGAGGATAGTGATATCAACCACGAATGATTATATAAAGAGTATAAGAAAGAAATTTAGGATTACGATAAATTGAAGGTTAATTAAGCCATGTAAAAAATTATTTATTTATTTATTTAACTATTTATTTATTTATTTATTTATTTATTTATTTATTTATTTATTTATTTATTAAACATATTCTTTAAATAATTAGTGGCACAAAGTATTTTGTATTATTTTTAGGATGAGGAATAAGGCGATGAAAGGGATAAACCTCAATCATACAACTAAAAGGAATTTATCACCAGAAGTTCGAAGTATTTTAAATGAATATTTGGATTGTCAATTCAATACATTAGGGATATCTAGTGGGGGAATGGAAGTGGGAGGGGTGAAGCCAATTTTGGAAGGAGAATGAGTTGAGTTCCAAGTGAGCTGGCAAAACGAATGAAAGTAAAAAGGGAAAACTATCAAATTAGCCCTTTAACTTTTCAAAAAAATCAATTAAGCCCCCGTACTGAAAGTTCAATCAATTATACCCTCGAACCCATTAAAAATTGTCAAACTCTCTTTTTAGCCGGTAATGAATAAGTTGCCGGGATGCTTTGTACACATGGCGGCACATGTGGATTTTTCAATTTGCTTTCCATTTTTTTCTTTACCCTTTCTCTTTTCTTTTTCCCCTTTCCTCCACATTCTTTCTCCTTCACACTGCGTTCCACCCTTTTCTCCAGCAAACTTCAGCCCACCGTTCCTCCGTCTTCTTCCAATCCCCCACCCACCCTTTCTTCTTCCCCTTTCTTCTTTCTTGGGACACCAATCGGTCTTTGGCCGACGACGGAGTCGGAAAGAGACCTAGATCGCCGGAAATGCTCAAGTACCCCTCACACGCCGGTCATCTCTTTCCGCGAGTCCATCGCACCTAGTTCTTCGTTGAAGCTTCTGGGTCAGCAACACAAGTTGGCGTCGGCGTCAGCGCTCCATGAAACCTCCAGATCGATTCCAGATCCGTAGATTCAATATGGCCATCTTATAATCGGCGGCAGAGAAGAGGCGCAGGGAGGAGGGCGAATTGAGCCTAGGGAACAACTAACAGAGAAATAGGGGGAAGAAGCAGGGACAGATCCAGGATTCTGAGTCAAGGGGGGCGAAATTTTTCATTAGTGTAGGGGGTGATTTTTTTTTTTGTTAGTGTAGCGGGGTGAAATTTTTTGGATGGTGGGTAGATGCGTTGAAGATGGAAGGCAACAGATGCGAAGATGTTGGAGAAGGAATGTGCAGATGTGCGGAGATACGCCGCGGAAGAAGGAAGGCGACGGGTTTGGTCCCTTTTTTGTCTAGGTTTAAACGGGTCTTGTTTTTGTCGAGTCAAAATTCACTGGTCCTGTTTTTGCCATTCTTTCATTTATTTTTTGGCAAAAATTTAGTACAAAGTTTAGGAAAGGTAATTTAGAAAAGTATGTGATTATTAGTCATATTTTTGGAAATGAAGGAAAAATGTCTTTTTTATCTATCACATATTTTTTTGTAATATTCATGTCACTGCTCCATCTTCATGTCACTGTCGCTATCGCTCATGTCACTGATGTCGACATCGCCGTGTCACTTCCGCCGCCATCGTTTGTGTCACTGCCGCCGCTGGTCACCTTGCCGCCCACAGTGACACTGCCAAAGTGACACCACCACAGTGACAACACTGCAGGCCACATACAGTGACACTGCCACCGGCACCGCCCAATTACCTCTTCCGGCCACTGCTTCCGGTGGCCACCACCTCCGACCAATGCCTGCAACCACCGCTAGCAACCACCATAGCCAAGCCTATGCCTCACCTAGCCCCCTCCCCTGTCTCACCCCATCTAGACCTGCACAAAAACGGGTTCGGGCCGGGCTCGGGCCGGGCTTTTTATAATTTTTTTGCCCATCATATGTGGGCGGGCCCGGCCCGGCCCGCAAAAACGGGCCTAATCCCATGTCCATACCCGCCCATAAGAGCGGGCCGGGTAGTCCACCGGGCCTCCGGGCCCGGAAAAACTTTATATTTTTCGAATTTTTTTAATACTTTAAAACTAATATTACAACATTTAAAAAATTGTTAATATGCGTGTAATGTTTATAGGTCTTTCACCACATACAAAAATAATACTTACACAAAAATAATAATGAGAAACTATATCTAAAATTTAAAATTCAAGCACAAAGTATTATCTTTAAGTACAAAAATAGATACTATATTAGTTGGGCTAGTGGTTCAGATCTAAAAACCTAAATTTAAACATAATAAACTATAAATATGTATAAAGATAAATTATATTAGAAAATATAAATGTACATGTAAATAAATAAATAAATTATATATATATATATATATATATATATATATATATATTAAATGTAGCGGGCCGGGCTTATCGGCCCGAACGGGCCTACACCCTAACCCAAGCCCGCCCATATGTTATTGCGGGCCGGGCCGGGCTCGGCCCGGTGGGTAAATATATATGCCCAAGCCCGCCCATTTGTGCGGGCCGGCTGGGCGGGCTGGGCGGGCCGGCCCGGTTTTGTGCAGGTCTAACCCCATCCCCCTTGCCTCACCCAGCCCCCTTTCCACAGCCCCTAGCCCCATCGGCTAGCCCCTAGACTCTTCTTATAAGCATGACCACCTCCATAGCCCCAAACATGGCATACGCATTCGGCCCAGCTCAATCCCTTGCCACCCACCGCATTCGCCCCATAGCTCGAACCCTAGCTGCTCTCACCAAGATCTAAACTCAGGCAGCGATGACCAAGCAGCGACGGTCAAACAACGGCGAAAGCAGCGGAAGAAGAGGCGGTCCGACTGTTCAGGCCCCTTACGCAAAATCTGAGCCGTCGTCCATCGAGGTTGGCAGATCTGGAATCGACAACGGTCAATTGATTTCGAACTGGAGGCGATAGAAGAGATGAACAATACAAGAACAATAGAATAACCGAAACCCAGATACAGCAGAAATTGGATTATATTCAGGTGCGAGATAGGGGTCGTCGCCATCACTGTATTCCACCATCTTCTCTGTAGTTCCGCCTCTCAACCGCCGTGACTACTAGAAAAAGGACTTTTAACAATAAAAAAATCGTCGTTATAGGCTCAAAAGTTGGTCGTTAAAGCTTTTAACGACCACT